ATGCATGTAGGTGTAATATCTATTATATATATATATATATATATAGGTATATATAATTATATGTATATATGTGTGTGTGTGTATGTGTGTATATGTGTATATGCATATGCATATGTATATGTATATGTATATTACCGTGGCTTGTATGTATCTTCAGAAATCGACAGTTGTACTCGTAGGTGACACATACTATATTTTGGGGGCGTATATATATACATTTCATTTGTCATGTATTGCTATGTTTCTCGAAATTTCTTTATAGGGGTTCTTTGCTGATCCGTTCGGCGATCAAATTTTGTATATGAGTTACAGGAGTATTGTCTAGTATTCTATTGCTCACCAACTATTTGTATTGGTTGACAAGAAATATCGGCGCTTGTATATATACTGACATTTCTCTATTGTTAGGACCAATAATGTAGCATGGCCACCACAATGGTCACAATCATGTCGGGTAGTGATGTGCTCTAATTTTTCCTTTGTTCCTCTCTCGTCCCTATATGTGCATTGCAGGTATTCGTACCTTACAACCAACGACCAAATCTCTATGAAGGTGACGATAGCGATGATCCCGTAGTAGAGGAAATGGATGTTTTCTTATCACAAACATTAGCAGACAACATGTATATATTTCAGTACCCTCTCAGAGGGGAATTGGCTGGCCCGTTCGACACCGACAATCAAGGTAATTCTCTTTGTCCATCGGAAACCAATGTAGGGTGTATTTAGAAGAAGGTGGTTTATGGCTGCTGAGATATACAGTGGAGGACTGCGTGGAATACACTGGCTCATTGTCTCTCACAAAGTCATGCAGAGACATCTGTCACAGCCTGCGGAAGATGCTGATTGCAGACTGAATATCAACCCCTCGAACCGATCATGCATCACTGTCTAAGGTCTCAATAACGTCGACGCTATTGTTGTATATATCGATATATATATATATATGTGTGTGTGTGTGTGTGCATGAGATACTAACAATTACACCTGAATTTGTAGATATCACTCTCCGTATGAAGCCCAAGCAAGAGAAAGTGGAGATGACCGTTATGTTGAACACACAGAGTGATTCATACAACTTCGCCAAGGCGTTGCAAATCGCCGACTTGACTGCAACCGAGAAAATGAGCGAAGAGGAAAGAGCCGAGGTGCGTAAGTGTCGGTATTAAATAGTTTTGATCGTCCCTATAGGGTTGTCCCGCTCGTGACCTCTGCAAATAGTTCTTGTAGTACCCTGAGGTCAATGCGGTGGTGCATTGTTGGGGCCTGGCATCACACCTTACGCGTTCGTGCTACTGAGGGTGACATCGGGCTAGAAGGCACTCGCTAGCCGTGACAAGACAATGCGTATGCCTAGATCACATGCGCGCAAACCCAACTCTCAACTATTTAAGGCTCTGGCTGTGTGTGGACACTTCCGCGTGTACCTGCACCTGAGTCTCCCCATATCTCTATGCTTTGGTTGTTTGTACCTGACATTTGCATCATCCTTTCGCAGGCATCGCATTTCCCTGAGGATTTGAAAATGGACCGGTATTGGCTGACTTCGACGCGGAACCAAATCGGTACACATTACTGCGTGGGCCTTATCGTCGACGGACAGGTGCATTTGACCCCCGTCAAAGGTATGTTGCACCCCATTGAGTAGCATGTATGATCTCGTTACCAAGTGTACTGAGTATCTCTCCATTGATGTTGGGCAGAGCGGGTGCTGGTACCTTGCTATTGATGCATCACATACCAGAACCCCTCCAGTATCGTGACTGCTTCTAACTACTAAAACCGCGAGTTTGGAGAGTTTCCATTCACGCATAGCTGTATGAGAACTGGCTTTGCCCGCTACAATAATCCACTAACACCGGAACATATTTATTCTGCGCCTTGAAAAGGTATCCTACAGATGCGTCCCGACATGTCATATTTAGATCCCAAACCGGCGCCTAAGGAAGACGATAGCGAGGCCAACGAAGCCAAAGCCAAAGCAGTGAACGTCAGAGTTCAGACAAGCAGAGAGAAGATGTTGGCGGCAAGGTAAGGTGGCCCTCTGCTATTGTGCCACTCTGTGTGTGTGTGTTCGGAGCGTTCTCACTTACTTGTACCTTCTGTTTGATTGATTGGCCGAAACATATGTGCTCCTGTATGCGAGCATACGGATGTGAATGTTGGGTATATGTTGTGGTATCGTTCCCGGCACGAACGCGACACGTTGTGTGGCTCTGAATAGGAGCCGATCGGCACTATCACCGTTTTGATACGTATAAGCAATTAAATTCAGCACTCACTTCTTAAAGAGATTAGCCCTCATAGTCGCCATTATCAATAGATATTCGCCTACGTAACTTTAGACTTTCCTACTCACTTACAATGTCAGCTGGACTCTAATGTGTCTGTCGTATAGGCGTATGGATAGATTGGCCCGTCCTCTTGTCGATCATCTATGCACGGTGTAGCAAGAGGATATTTCATCTCTCTGTGTGTACGTTGATCTACAACAGGAAAGCCAAGGACATGGAGACCGATGAGGACTGGGTGGGCCTGTCCACTTTCTACCGAGACCACCACAACACGGACGTTGTGGTCAGTAAGATGGTGGTTGATCCCGCTCTCCCTCCCATTCCGTTCCCACTCACTGCGGATGAGTATGTGGAGACGCTGAGCTGCGTCAATCGGGCCAACCAGAATGCCAAGAAAGACGCAGTAGTCCATCCCGACGGCGTGAAACAGTCGGCGCATAAGATCCAGGTGTGTGTGGGATAGGGCTGTGTGCTGCGCTATACGGGAGAGACGAGGGTATGTATATGGGTGTAGGATATGCGAGGGGGAATGCTACGGGTGGTATGTAAGTTCACTAGCACGTTCACTAGCAGTTGAAGGTATCTTGTGGACACGAACGCGTGCGTTCGCTCACGCTTGCCCGTTCAGTGTCCTTGGTAGCTTTGGTGTACATTGCAGTTTGTATCGTCTCCACGCCACGGTTACCTCTGACGAAGCGCCAGACCACTATGTATACTTGTTTAGACACTTTGATCATTGTCAGTGACAATATATACACTCAGCCAATGGAGACAATCAGTCTTCATCTGTTTCAGCGGGGTGTGTGAATATTGGGTAGTCATGGCCTGTGCCTTATAGGCATACCGCTCTGTCGCTTATTTCACGCATTAACATACGCTCACATCCATGTGTGATTCACTCAGAACCTCGACCCAAAAAAGAGGACAGATATCTTCAATCTTAACCTGACGCAGAGGCTGCCGTGGGTGGAACAGGCTGTGCTGATGCTGAGCAGCGCTCAGGTAAGTATGTGTTTGTAAGCGTGGGTGTTTAATGGTCAAGTATTTGTGCGTGAAGTCTTTGTCCGGTAGTGTGTAGTAGGTAGTTATTTAATGGGCAAGTATTTGTGGGTATTTATTTGATGGGCAACTGTTTTGTGCAGAAGTGTGTAGTGGGTAAATGCTTTTAGGTTGTTATTCAGTGGGCATGTATTTTGTAGTTGCTGTGAGGGTACGTGTTCGTGGGTCAAGTCTTTGTGCGTACTTATTTAATGGGTTGATCTTTAAATTCATTTCGTTTTTGTGTACGCTTTAGTGATAGTGTGCAAGTAGTATTGATTGGTGTTTCTTTTTGAAGTATCTATTTGGTTGTATGGCACAAATGTGCGCTGCGTATCGGTATATACTTCAATCTATCACACATGTTTACACTGTCCACTACAAGAATGCATACGACATACGAGTCGCACCGGTGTTAGCTTATGGGAATCAGACAAGGATGTCGTGCCATTGTAAACAAAACTTACTAGATATTAGATACTTTTAAACAGAAGAACAGCCAAGGATGCCATGACATTCATTTATAGGGGTTTTAACCTACTCGCATCTAGTTCAGACTGTACACACGGTTCAATACATAGGCTGAGTACTCCACCCTCGATACTAAGACAGACCTCTTTACCTCGCCCACCCAACACGCAGGTAGCGCCGTTTGCGCAGATCAAGTCCATGCTGTACTTTGTCACATCCATTACCGACGAGATTATCATGAGTGAGCTCTCACGGCACGCATGGCTAGTGCATGGTAACTGGGTGGTCAAGAGCGAGCTCGTGTACCCCAAAAACGCGAAATCGCAGATAACCGGGTGCAGCGGGGACAAACTGCGGACCATCCGAGACATGTTTATCCACAGGTACGGAGTTAGTCGGGCGGGCGTTCTAGCTTAAGCATGATCTGTTTGGAAATGAACAAGCTTTTGTGTATGAATGAATGGGGCATCGCATATACATGTATTATTGTACACAGTAGGGTTTTTTGTCGGTCTGTTAGCATGTTATATTTAATACGGAGATGTATGTATATCTATTATCACATGCCTACTCTGCACCTGTCAAAACTGCCCCTTTCACTTCCGTTTCTGCGGATGGACCGAACTCTTTACAGTGTTCGAATGCATCAGTGAACCAGATGTTTAGTAGTGTTGCGAAGACTACAGTGCTGTGGGTAGTCGGCTCTCCTGAGACCTCGCTGAGAGCGCTTGAAGTATCGGGCCCACCCACATCGTAGTACTCTAATTCCATGAGCCGTCAAGGCACAAAATGCACGCGTGGTCGCTATAGAACCTTGACCACCGATCACTCTGATCAAACCCTAAACTCTAAACCCTGGACCCTCAATTACCCTTTCGCCGCTCTGCAGTATACACACAATGGATAACATCAAAGCCCACGAGGTCGTCGAAGATCCATTCGCATACAACCCAGAGGTGCTGGCGCACGACTTCTACCCGCCCTTCATCGGCACACACTACCGTGATAGTGCCGGAGACATGCCCAGCAAGCCTATGGGTCGGTTACACCGACCGGAGCACAACGCGCAGGTGTACATCCGAGTGAAGGACATGAGGGTTGGTGTAGTAGAGGATGTGGATGTCAGGGACTTCCGTGAGGTATGGGCAGGAGTCAGTGACACGCGTGTCAGGGTAGATACGACGTGCCTGTGGTAGTGGTTTTGTGTGTGTTGGTACGGGTACGATTCAGGTAACATCTTAGTTATGTGCTAGTGGCACGTGCCGTTGTGAGTGCGGGCCATACGGGTGGGGGGAGTGTGTTTGCCAGAGACTTCGTCCGAGAGTGTATCGAGATATCGCGCATAGTCTGTTATGGTGGGCTTTTTGTTCCAATCATTGTGGATTCAGATCAATCCGGAGCCCTATACCATCGACACCGGCACATCAGCTTTCTGAGTACATACTTTGGTATCTTCTGTCGTAGTCGAGGATGTGAAACGCAGCGACGTGAGTGTGTGAGTCTGAGTGTGTGGGTGTGAGTCTAAGTCTGAGTCTGAGTCTGAATCTCTGCACACTAACCCTATGCCTGTTTATCCACTTGTGTGTTGTGTACAGGTATTCAAAGGGCCGGGGCGGCATGTGATATCCAAGGGGTGGACGCTGAAACGTGCCACTGACCAAACCTTCATCGATGCACACCCGGATATAGTGCGAGAGCAGAACGCGCTCATCGAAGCAACGCTGGGCAAGGCTGGCAGTGATGTGGTGGTGAAGAAGGAGAGCGGCAGGCAAACGAGTAAGTCGCTGAGCTTGGTTGGCGTGTGGCATGTAGACGCTTGTACATGTAGACGCTTGTATGTGTGGCTGTGTGTGTGTATGCAGTGCGGATTGGATGTGTATATTAGTGAAACATGCATGGTAGGTAGATGTTAGTTTACAAAGACAACGGGTTGTCTCAGTGTAGTTGCATCTCCGGGTGTGTCCGTGGTTGCACTACGAAGTGCGGTTGTTTGTGTCTTCTAAACGTGTACCGCAGGTACCCTCGTGCGCACACCGATTGCCTTGGCTCTAGGAGCGGGGGAGAATTGCTAACACATAAGCCGTTACCACTACATACCACCAAACTAATCCTTCGCGCTGATTGGCGCTGAGTACTGTCTTGTATATGTATATGTATATATATTTATATTTATTTCACCCTTCCCCGCCCACAGCGCCTACCAAGCCAAAACGGGAGCCTGCTATCAAGAAAGAGGCCACCGCTGCAAGGCATCCCAAGACAGCCACTCCTGAGAAGGCCCACAAGGAGTTTGCTAAACCAGCAGCAGTAACAGAGGCCGAGCGATTGGAGAAACACCAGGCGGAAGAGTTAAAGTGTATGTGACCACCTGACTATCAGCTGGCTTTGTATATTAGAGATGGATGATCTGGTTGTAAGCATATGGGGAGCTTTTTAGTTGGCTATGTATGTAGCTATGTATGTACTTGAATGTGTATATAGTTTGCCAAATCTGCGGCCGGTATGGTTGACTGATCGAATGGAGGGGTTTTGAGGTTTTAGCGGAAATCTATTACATCTATTATATATATGTGTGTATATATATTTATATATTTATATATATGTATATGTATATATATATATATGTGTGTGTGTGCGTATTTAAATATATTCGTCTACTTCCTTCTTCCCTCTATTACAGTCAAAAGACAATCATCACACTGTACACATATACTTTGTCTCGTTCTTCGTTCTATCACAGTCAAAACACATAGGGCTGCCCTCATTGCGCATATCGAGGCGTTGCTGGTCGAACACGGGGTGCTATCCTACGCAGCCGTCAAGGCTCTCTGTGCCAGTGCAACCAAAAAGGAGTTCAAGGCCGATGGAAAGGCTGTGTTTTTGGCGCTAAAGGCGGGGGGTCTGAGCGTGACGCTCGAGTGGTGGGACGGTCTGGACGAGGATGCGGGTAACAAGACTGTCTATGTGGCCAAGAGTGTTGGGGATCCTGCGAAAGATGAGGTGGGTTATATTTTGTATGTGTTTGGGCTTACAGCTATATATAGTCACATGGACAGCGCTGTGTTCTTATGTCGCATGCTGTAGCTGTTGTGGTATGTGCAATCGGGGTTAGAGCTTGATCTACTGTCTTGTGGGGTATGTGGGCTTGGGTGCTAAGTGTAACCCCCACTAGGGAAGGTGTAGTGTGCTTGCTTACCATACGGTGGAGGCGTGGCGGGACTTGTCTGTGTATCCTGCTAAGGCCGGACCGTTCTATGAGCATGTGTATGAAAGAGTAAGGGTAGTTTGTCTAAATACAAAGAGAGGTTTTTCAATCACTCCATGTACAGGTGTGCGTGGTGCTGCTGCTGGCCTGTATTTTATGGGGCGTGTCGTACCCACTCTGTGTGTAGGTAGTAGCAGGGCACTTGGGTCAGGGCACTTGGTCTGTATCTGCTTGGACGTTCTTTATCCACTGCCATGCATGGGTTCTGTGTACTAGTTCGTGTGATGGGGGCAGTTTGTGCACATGAGTGTCACCAATGCCTGCAGCGGATTATTTCCTTCGTTGTTCGTTCCTGGGACTTGAGGGGGCGAAGCTAGCAAGCACCTTGGCGTTAAACGGTGTCTTTATTAGTGTTCTAGCAAGCCCCTAGCGTTAATCGTTATCTCTATTAGAGTTCTAGTCCGCAGATATCATATATATAACTCCTCTGTGCTATATCACTAGCCTGCTATATCTGGGACGATGTTCCTGAGAGCCTCCACTGCTATCGCGCCCGTCACATCTTTTGTATTCAATTCTTGATCAAACCTTCAGTTGTCCATGACCAATCCAAGATATTGAAAATTGGCTGCCAACGAATATCAGTGAGGAGTGTTGTATCATTTCTGAGCTATGATACCAGAACATTACTCTCAGTGAGTGTTGTATCATTTCTGAGCTATGATACCAGACCATTACTTTCAGTGAGTGTTGTATCATTTCTGAGCTATGATACCAGAAAGTAACTATGACGAACTACGTGTTCTCCCTTCTACTACGCAGTACCGCAATGTGCTGCTGGAGTGTTTCCAATTGGCTGAGTCGGTGAAGAAGAGCACTGTGGACGCGATATGCACGGAACGATCTATCGCAATACCCGCCACAACGTATGTCTGTAGTCAGTCCGTTGAGTGAGGTTGATCCATCTAGTTTTTAGAGATCATGTGCATGATATGTATGTGTAGGCTATTGAGTGTGCAAATGCTGTGGGTTTTATACGTACTTTATCGCCACCCGCATGACGGATCAAAATGGGGCATACCATAACCTGCTACATGTGCGTGGTCGACTGAGTCCTTCTCACAAAACTCGATGGCATGAGTGTGTGCATGGGGCGATAGCTATGCATACAAACTTGTGAGTGATGTTGGTGTATTTTCATTTCAAGTGGAACGATAGTGCTGTTATCTTGTATGTATCATCGTATTATTCATATCTGTTCGTGCATGTATGTATGTATGTGTGGCGCCGGTGTTCGGAGCCTTGCTCACATAGTTCGATGGCATGAGTGTGTGCATGGCATGCTAGCTCTGCTTACAAACTGCTCTTTCTAGGCCGAGTGATATTACTGTATACCATCCCTAGCGGAATGATGGTGCTGTATTCTTGGATGAATTTTATATCTGTGCGTGCATGTATGTATGCATGCATGTATACATGTGTGTATACATGCATGTATACATGCATGTATGCATGTGTGTATGCATGCATGTGTGTATGCATGCATGCATGTATGCATGCATGCATGTATGCTTTTGTGGCGCCGGTGTCCGTGACTGTGTATATGCCGGACTGTGCGTGGTATCGCTGTTGGCTGAATGTACTCCTTTTGTTGCCACGCCGCCTTTTCCCCGTGCCGTAGAGGTGTATGTGTTTTTTAGACCCCTGTCTCCATCAAAGCCAATGCATAGTACTACGCGAGTGGTGCATATGTGCGCATGAAGTTTTGTTGTAACGCCCGTGATTTGTGATCACTAATCGGTGAATTCGGCATTAGACTTTGTATCTGGCATTATTTAGTGTATATGCAAAAGCACTCTTGCTTGTAATGAATACAACAATTGTGCACAGAAGTACATACATTTGAACAACTATTTCTGTGCAGATTCGCTAGTATTTCAGTCCGTTCTTCAGGTCCTAGTTCAACTATGTGCATGTTCGCTTCTGAAGATTCACTACACTTTGGCATTCAGTGCTAGATCGTTGCGATGTACTTTGAATATAGTTTACACTATTTGTAAAGATGTTAATACGTAAACATGTTTTAAATGTAACAATATTATATAAAAATAAGTATGGAATATAATGCCACAATAACCATCGCACTCCTAGTGGTAACTGTTGTGCCTGTGTACATATCCATAGTCGCACTAACAGTAGTCCTCGTCACAGTAGTACTTCTCTGGCTCTACCCGCTCGAGTGTGCCGTATTCCATACAGAATTGAACCGTTTTGATACTATAGCATGATGGATGGTCATGTGTGATCGAGTCTAGAAGTCCCCCGCAATCACTGGCTCAGATATTGCAGTCAATGAGTGACACTTTCCAAAGCGCATACTGGCGGAAGGGTATAATGAACTTGAGGATTAAACCCCTTCAAATCATAAAACACATAGTCTGAACACTCCACATGTCTGTATTTGTATATTGCAGGACATTCACTCGCATGGTTAAGGAAATTGCAAAGAAATCGGGAGGCGCTTGGTCGTTCATGATTCCTGAGGCAGAGATAGAGGATGAAGACGAGGAGGAATAGACATGTGTGCCACATGTGTACGATAACTCGATTAATAAATTAGTACATGCCCTAGCAACGAGTTTAGCAGTTGCCGGGAGTATAGGAATATGCGATCAACAAGAGCATAGGAATATACGATCAACCATATCGCACAATTCGCAGGGGACGTTGAAACAGTACATGAGGAGGATAAGATGTTCTTTTGGGTTTCTGTAGTCGTGATAAAAAGACAATGGTACATTTGGTAAGTGTGGCGAGAATCGGCCTGTGTGAGTAGAGCAACAATCTGAATATGTACCCGTCATATCTAGCGCTTGATACACAATCTCACTTGTTACAGACTGCGGTCCTTTTTTTTCACAACTTTTGGACTTTCATTGTTGTGAGAGGTGCTTCAAAACACGCAGAAAAATGCCAAACTGTCTGATTGTTCAATTCTGCTCTGAGATACTCGCACATAAGCTCGACTACAAGATTGACTGCCAGTTTTCAGAATCGAATCGTGACTGTGCCTTGAATGGGAGTCTGTTAGTAACCTTTCAGTGGATACTAGTAAGAGCGAAGCATGTAACTCGCAAAATGGTCAAATTTAACCATGAAAAACCTTTCCTTTAATTAGGTACCAGAACATGATTACCATTTTAAGTATTCTTCACATTTATATGTGATCCGACCTGAAGTACAATATGTATATCCATCGTTTGAATGTCAAGGCAAATCGGTTTGTGTAGATGCAGTTATTCCGGTTGAGAATCAAAATCTTGTACACGCGTCACATTAAAGAATTTCACATCGGGCTAATCAGCGTTCCGTCACATGGCATGTCGTGAAACAGGTTGAAAGATACCTGCAACTTCTCATTTTGTTTTTATGATAAGTGTTGTTACTGTAATTCCAATATTGAATAAGGAATTTTCGTATAATAAAACTATATAGAAGATAATAGATAATTGTCATGCTATCAGGTGTGTTCTCAGCATGTGTAAATACTGCTCATTTTTAACAAATGCAACGAACTTGATTGTAGTATGGTACAATGGTATACGTATATAAATCACACTGGAACTACATAGCTTTTCAACAATATACCGGATCCTTGAAAAGGGTTGCTCGGCAAATATGCCGTCACGGATCTCAGTTTTGTTTTTTTTTGTTTTGTATTTAGCTTTTTGTTTTTTACTACGAAATATATAAAATAAAAATTATACATTCATATCAGTGCGATCTATGAGTACGGAATTTGATTGGATTAGAAAAACAAAACAAAAACACTCACTTTTTTTCTTCTTTTTTTGTGACAACTGACAAGTCTTCTCTATATTTTGTATAGAAATAAAACAACTCTGCGGGCCAGTGGGAGACGCTGTTATAAAAAAAAAATTTAAATACTGTTCGACTCGCGCGTTCGCTCTGTAGCCTGTATGGCCCAAAGCCCCAAACCTACGGACGACGAGACCTTTCAGCAAAATCACGTCGGACTTTTAGATACTTCAGTATTTTTGCGTACGTCGAAAATCCAAAATGCGTACGTTTTATTTTACATACCTGATTTTTATACCCATACTGATGGCTTCGGGCCACCAGTATTCATTGCGTGTCTGATGGAGTCAAACAAACAAAATAAGTACAAAAGGATTGTACATTCTGATGATATTGTGTCAAACACACACGTGTAGCACACACATACGGTTAAGCAAGAAAAGAAAAGCAGTCCACTACCGGCATGGGGCCTAAGAAAGTTTACAAACAGAGCTATTGCGGCGCAGTAAGTGCGCTCCTACAGTCAACAAATATCACACCCACTTCTGATTCCTTACAAGTGCAGCCTAACAAGACTGGCACAGATCTTTGGAATTGGGTACAGCCGTCAATGGGTGCTGGAGGTCATATACTAGGACTCAGTACCCCTTCATTTTCAGGTATTTCGGGAAAATAATATTGGTTCAAATTGATATGCTCTCTTGATAATGCTGTTAGATGTTACTATATTATCCTGAGTGTATATTTCTGAGGCGCATAATTGATTAATTAGATTATCTCAGCGAGAAATTTGTGCTCATATGTACACATTTCTTGATTTTCAGATCGATCGGAATCGGACGTGGTCACCAAAGCGGTCGCTTTGCGCCAAGGTTCCGAGGTTTTAGCTGGCTTGAACAATGGTGAAGAATACCAAGGCAATACCCCCAACCACGCACTGGGCGTATTGTTAGTCTTGGCCGAAAATGCAAGGGAGAGCAGAGCGGCGAATGAGGTCATGCAAGGAATGCCTAATATGTGGGTACATGCACGGCGTCCTCCCGTATACTATGAAGTGGAGGCAATGGCAGCCTACGAGACCAAGGTGCTGGCAAAAGATGCCGTACGTGCCACGGCAGGTGCTATACTGAAAGCTATGGATTGCACCGAACCAGTCGGTATCGTTGGCAGGCGATGGGTGAAAGATAAGATTGATGAGCTGGGTCTCCCAAGTGCAACTAATAAAGCATGTCGGTTCATTGGTAGGTTGGTCACGAGAATGTGGTCACGCTTTCAGCGACAGCACCGGATTCTCACGCTCGTTCAGGAAATCAGAGCCCCTCTGCGTACGAAGCGGAAGATGTCAGTCGAGGAGTTTGTGATGCGTTGCTGGTCTATGCGGGCGAGTTCAATTTCATGCAAGTTACCTAAAACACCACCGGAAAGTGTGAGAAGGCTACTCGCGCAAACCCAGGAACGGAATTTCGAGTGTGTAGAGACTATGACTGCTGACTTATTGGGTGCGATTAGAAACAGAATAGGGTCATACAAAGAATGGTGTGCGCTAACTAACAAGGACTGTCCAAAGCAGTGGAGCGACAATTTGTCGAGTTTGGCCAGAGCTATTAATCCCTCTATCAAATTATACAACTCTATGTGTTATGAAGAGGCATGGTTGGCACGAGCCTCAGCATATGTACCAAAGGATCTTGCCCCAGAGATGTACTCCTTCGATGATTTTCATAAACTTGAAAGCACATCGTACTTCTTTTTCAACCAGGGTATGTACTATTGTTACAGTCCGGCTTGGAGGGAGGATGCGTACAAAGCTGTTGTGGATGGTCGATACAAGACGAAATTAGTATCGAGGGACGAGGCCATAGCCGCTGGTAATGGACAAATGCCCACAGCAAAGGCGGATGTTCTGAGGCACATCACGTATCTGCAAGAGTACTACTTCAAGGGTGGATTCATGACGGTTAATAGTCACGTACTCAGAATATGCGAAAACTAAGTTAGAAGTTGTCAGTCGAACAGCATTTCCAAATCAAAGGCCATTCTCTCTGACACGAAAATTGACATTTACCATGACCCCCTCTGGAGGGAGGGATGAAAATGAAAATCCCAGAGGGGATCGATGTTTCATGCATTTGCCCCAAATTGCCTTTGACCGCAACACTATTCAGAAGGCCGTGAATTTTCATAGAAATATCAGTCAAATATATAAGATAGCCTTCTATTTAGTATTCTATTTAGTATTTAAGCACTGATCAGACATCGAGGGCTAAATGTGTATTTACACGCCTATGTACAGCCTACATACAGCTTACATATAACTAGTTATGACATACATATTTGTGTTATGATTATATAATTTTCAAAAACAACATTAAAAAAAACAAAGTAATAATTCCATTGGTGGTTTTATATATTTTTCAAAAACAACATTAAAAAAAACAAAGTAATAATTCCATTGGTGGTTTTTTTTCCTTTTTTTTTAAACAAATACAAATTTCCGCAAGGGGCCTTTTAGAGGCCTCTATGTACCAAACGGGGAAATTGGGGAGAGCCTTTTATTGTGGCCTAAGTCGTGAAAGACAGACAGACCGACGGAATCGACATATACGTCGTTGTCTCTGTTTGTAGCACGAATCACAAATTTATATATTGTCAACATCATGCAACAGTATTAAAGTTTATGGCCAGACCAGTTCATTTCCGCTGACGTTCAGTTCGGAGTATACTTTGACTGTACAATGTCTCGCTCCCCATGTCTATATCTGTACTTCGTATACTGCTTATATCTACAATTATCAGGCCTGCGTAGCTAAGTGAGCATGCACATGCCACTACATGGCCTAGACTGACCTGTATACGCCCTCGGCAAAATGTTGCACTACAGTCGAATGTGGGAGTCCTGCAGAGTTCGGCTGAGTTTCACATCGGCCTACTTTAATGTCCTCACTTGCTACGTTGCTACTTTGCTTTTCTCTCACCGGTGTAGGTGCAACCGTTTCGTTCGATGGAATCCAGGGGAAACGGCCCCCTGTTTCTGGGCATGTATGTTGGGATTGTTTCCACACTTGCGGTGTACTCAGGGACACCCCCAGATCCAGTCTAGTCTGGTATAGTCTAAAGTCTACTTCCAGACGCGCAAGTCACTTTGCCGGCTACAGGCTGCGCAGTTTCTATCTTTGCCACTGCTTGCACTATATGAATTTCTTTTCCCTCTCGGATGTTTTCTTGAAAACTATGTACGCGATCAGCAAAACGACCTGCATCGCGATATTTAGATTGTGAGGTAGGTGACGATTAGTTGCGCTGCTCCATCGAGCGTCCGGGTAAGCTCACTAGTTGACAACAACTCTACGGAACGAGAGGCGCATGCTAAAAACTTGGTACGAGAAGGATAGTCTGGATGTAGTGTGAGTGCATGCAGCGCTCTTTTACAGCATGATATACCTTAACTATGGCACAATATGGAGAAAAAGACGCTCATACGCAGCAGATGCAATACACTTCACTTCAGAGCACAGATTGTACCTGCTTGATGAATACGCAGCCCGAGTACTTGTTCAATATCCGTTTGCTAACAGGGCATGTTGGCACATACACTGTGCGCGAACTGTTGGCCCACATGCATATGTCGATACTATCAATACTTACAGATGACCGTACCCCCATGCGTTCATCGACACTTACTTACACATATAGAGACACCCCTATTCCACACACGTCTCTACACGCCCATAGAATCTCTATGTAATATACGTTAGTAATACTCCGAACTCCAACCTGCAGATAACCATGCCCATCTGTAAACTACCATGTATACATGGATGTATAAACACAGTCAATACCACATAATGTATACAATCAATCATCTATCACTCCGTACATGTACAACCAACTACCACGTATACATGCATGTATAAAACCTACTATCCATCCCTCTATACCTGTACAGCCACTACCACAGCAGCCGCCCAAAAGTAGCTGTTCCCACCCTCTTCGACATGGGCCTTCATTTTCTGCGTCTCCTGCTTCAATGAACGCTTGATATCTTTGTGGCCGGACTCTTGCTGGAACTGAAGTGAGCAAGCGGCGTAAAAACGGTTGGCTCTGTGCGAAACTATGACCCTTTAGCCCAAAGATTGCAACGTAATACAAACGGCACATCATATGACTGTACTCACTCTCTAGCAGGAAGAGCTAAGGACTGGCACTGTGCGCATTGACCCAAAGATTGCAACGTAATACAAACGGCACATCACATGACTGTACTCACTCTCTAGCAGGAAGAGCTAAGGACTGGCACTGTGCGCATTGACCCAAAGATTGCAACGTATTACAATACGGCACATCACATGACTGTACTCACTCTCTAGCAGGAAGAGCTAGGGACTGGCACTGTGCGCATTGACCCAAAGATTGCAACGCAATATAAACGGCACAGCACATGACTGTACGCACTCTCTAGCAGGAAGAGCTAAGGACTGACACTGTGCGCATTGACCCAAAGATTGCAACGTAGGATAAACAGTACATCGCATGACTGTATCCCTATCATATTACATCGATACAATCTAAATAGCCTATGCCAATGTCCATAACACTAAGGTTTTTTATGAATACTAAAATTCTGTCGAATCGAGAATCATTCCTCACGTGCATTTGTAGATGCGGCACTCCCCGTGCTGTCAACCACAAGTTCCATACCAACATACCTTGATGCCCTTTTCGAGTTGGTCGTACTTGTGCTCTAAAGCCCCAACTTTCTCAGTCATCGCATCAATCTGGAGAGGAGAGGAGTTGGTTTGCACAAAATTCAGCTTATCATCTGTAAAGTCTAAATTTTTATAATTCTAGAACCCCTCAGCCTTTAAACGTCTGTAGCTTCGAACAGTGTCGCAGTTATGCGGCTGGATAATATCAGAACTAACCGTGTGACAGCCCTCCTTTTAGGTTAGTATATATCAGACCTAGGAAAGTGTGGTAGTGTCACATTGAGCCTGGCAAACAGAAGTGTGACAGTCTCGCCTTCCAGCTAGCATATATCACTTGTACAAGCGGTGGTATGTAGTATCTTCTTTATATCCATCCTAGAAAAATGTAATAGTGTCACAATGGGCCTGGCAAATATCGGTACTAGCGGAAGTGTGATAGACTTACCTTGATGCCCATGCTACTAATTAAGCGTTCCAGTGATTTAGTATCGCCGCTGCTGCCCTTGGCCTCCCCGACAGATTCATGCAGTAGATTCCCTTGTAGTTCCATCTTCTCGTTTATTTGCTGGCTGTTTTACGATATTTTGTTGGATTCAGGTTTAAAAGTCGTACAAATGCATTACTTCCATAGCCTCCTACAGAATTCATGATACCTTTTTATAGTAGGCTATAACGTGTCATGATCAGAAACCAATCGTACAGAGCAGCAGAAAAGACGTTTATATAGCTATGCTTACTTTAGCTATATGTCAATATAGATCAGATATACTTAATCATAAGTTCACACATACATTTGCTTCTTCATGGTCTTCAGCTGCCGAAGTACTAGGATGTGGTTGTTTTTGATATTGGCGTCTAGTTCCTTCATTTCGAATTGGAACATAGCGTTCAGTGACCTTTGGAACTCTGAGATGGCTTCAAGTGTCTTCGCGCCGTACCCGTTCACTACCTAGGTTTTAATGGGAGGCAGATGAATCATTATCGCCTTAATATATAAATATATATATATATACATCAACTACAATATATATATCAACTACAATATCTTTCTACAACCGTATGATAAATATACGCTGTACACACTTCGCTGGGCCTATTTTCTCGTGCTATTTCTTGAATTCATTATGATTGACATAGCAATTATACTATACCAAAAATATATAGACGCACAAAACAACAGCTTTGTGCGATGACGTGGGCAGTATAGCGGTATGCCTCGCTGGGATAACTTTCTGGTACTCTTTCTGTCACCAGGCACGCTTACCATAAAACACGAACAATACAGTCCCACTGCCAATGCAGAAAAAAGTACACATATCGGCATTTTTATACAAACACATAGCAACGCTATACTGTACTCACCTCACTGGGATCTTCCTGGTAGTCCGCATCGTCCTTGTGCTCCTGTTTATACGCGTTCTGATTGGCGTTGAATTCGGCCACGTGTTCGCCGAATTTTCGTACGAGATCCTCGTGCTCCTCATCACTTAATTTCAGCTGTATGGGAGAGGCAAGGGGGTTTTCAGGACACGATGTTTTTCGCCCACATACAAAGCCGAATGTATATACTGACTATAGTGTGATAGTAGGGCACGCCTTCGGTTTTCCAGGCACAGGAATACGTTGAACCCCATGCCTTCCGATAAAAAAATTCCTCGAGGTATCGTAAAAAGACCCGACAACTCAATGTGTAACCAGTCTCTACTAAGGAAGGTTCCTGGCTGCGGTATAGGGTGTTGTGCCAGCATACTATCACTCTTCATCCTAAAAGATACATCGGGCAGAAACGCCCGTTATCTATCTACCCATGGTAATACATTGACTAGCAAGCCTTCTCAGGATAAGTGCATGCAGAACACCGTCTAACAGTACCAACATCTCGTACGTAGATAAGTCTGCGCAAGAAGCCTATCAACAGCAGTATAGTGCCCTGTGTAAATACACTATCTGACATATGTAGCATGCATTAACTCCATTCAAGTGCTTGTATGAACGCATTGAAACGCATGCCTTATCATGATACCTTGCTTTACAACAATGTACAAACGCGTCCATATTCCGTTGATAAGGGGCTTTAGAAGATACCTGAGCACACCATCCCCTTTCAAGACAAAGACAAATATAATAACAGCGAGTATAGTGTAAACACTCCATCAGACTTTCAAAGAATAAATGATGGTGAGTGAGGGGCCTCGGAAACATGTGACTGGCGGTTGCAAATTCTGATATTACTCTGCCAACCAGCAACAAGCAGAATTCGCTCACACAGGTGGTTCTACAAAATCCAGCACCAGTTATTACTCTCGAGGACAGCGGAATATCAGAACACCACATATACCAGATTCCCGTTTCATTACAATACTCGTATACCGGAATTGAATGTTATTGCAAATTGCTCGATACCTTCTCTCTGGTAGTGACGGATATTGGAAGCGACACAACACCCATTGGTGTGTGTACGATAACATACCGTTGCGTCTTGTTTCCGTTGCTCGTTCTGTGCCGCAGACTGCCGGCTACGGATATCCACGAATCGTCAAAGTATGGAGAAATAAGTGAACAGTCCAAATGAATATAAGAGAGGCTTTATGAGTGCGAGAGAAGAGGCAGGTTGGAAGACTGCAGAACAGTTCAGATCGCCATGAGACAATTGTACCACGTAGGGACTACAGGTGCAAAGGGGACGTAAACTTGTGAAGACACAAGTGAATGACTCAGATCTAAAACAAGGTATACACCATAATAATATAGAGAATTCAGACAGTCGACGCCAATGGCCGCGATCGATCGTGAAGAGCGCGGACGCTACATGCACGCAAAGGGAAGACTCCCCCGACCTTAAGATTGTCTTAGCCTCTATGCACTTTTCAAATTAATATGACATCGCAGTCTGTGTGAGGTCGAACCCATTGCCAGATTAACGGGAAAATCGATCAGCTATGAAGGAAGGACCCGTCGAATTCTCGGACATCGCTCGAAACACAGACAAGCTTGCATGTGTTTGCATGCTTCATGAAGGTACTGCGTGCAATGCTAGATGCGTACCTAAGTAAACAAACAATCCACCCGACTGCCCTAGACTACCTCTTGACGCCATCAACACATCACAGCCACTCCGCATATGGAAGGTGCGCGGCCAATAACACGCGTGCGTATGCTTGAGAGTGGGTGTACAGCTCTTTGAGTCGTAGGCAAGTGACATGTTTTTGGCCAACAGAGATGCATAGAGAAAGACACGTACACTTGTGGCTGAAAGAACGCGAGTGCCCACTACCCGCGCGTTGGTACGTGCAAGGGACGATCGCTTAGTAGCTTAAAGATGACAAATACCAATCTCAACACTCAGAACATGAAATAAAATAGAAGTATACGTAATTTAGAACAATTGAAGACAGATATCAACGAAAACTAAAGTTCAGAATGATCAAACCAAGTGATTGTTATGACAGTAAACCCTAATATCCCAAAACTAGAACTTTCGATTCGATTTACCAAAATAGTACGTGCTCAATACACTCAAACACAGTCTTTCGCTAGTATGTTTACCTGAGCTTTTGGTACAACTCCACAACATAGTTATCGTCGTAAGTGTCCACACAATACTCGACGATGAACCGAATTCATAGGATACCTACCTGAAAGTTTGAAACGACTGCACAATGTGATCGTCAGCCAGCCCTCCAGTGGCGGCGGACACGCCGAAGTAGTAACCAGTGGGTATTTCAATTTTACTAACAGTGAAGCAGGGCTCGTAGTATTTGCCGTTACTAGTCTCATCAACAGATACCTGGCAACGGGAAGCTTTAAATATTAGGTCAAAGCGGTGACTGGTGGTATGTTGGAAGGCACGACCAGACCGAAGCAGTATCCGGGGTTGAGTTTGACACCATGTACAGAGAGTAGGGCTTGTTGTACTAGTCATTTTTAGGCTTAAATACACTCTACTGCTGTGTTGAAGAGGTGTATTGTGGTATGTTGAGAGAAATAGTCGGGCCGAAAGAGTATGCAGTAGTGAGCTCAGTTCTGCGTACAGAAGAGTAGAGCGTATCGTACTAGTCGTTATTTGGGCTTAAACCCCACTCGAATATTGTGTCGAAGTGGGATAGATACTGAGCCCATCTTTCCGTACAGACAAGTAGGGCTTGCAATACTTGCCGCTTCTAGACTTATCAACAGATGCCTGTCATCGAGGACAGGCCTATCGCCAGGCCTAAGTACTGATCACCAATATGTGAAGAAGAAAAAATGTTCTCGTTGACAGTGTGGCCACGCGTGAGTCAAAACCTCGAATATCTCAAATTATGGCGATAACTCCTGCCCTGCTGCGTAAGCACGAACACTGAAACTATACACAAGCAATACAAAAGACACTACGTACTTGATCCGAGAGTGATCACGATTGTTAGAAGACACTATATATATAGATAAACTATCAGATATCGATAGTCTCCATATCTAATGATAGGATCTATACATCATGTTTTAATCACTCTCCTCTCTGTAGGGTGAAGTAATGTACTGTGATTAAGCTGGCAATTTAAGCTCGCTAGGCTCGAAATTTATCACTCGCCACGGAATTTAGTAGACAACGACAAGCCGTTAAATGCACACGAGGTTTTGTTCACTAGTCAACACTCTTTTGAGAATACAAGACACGGTCAGAAGTTGATCATGATCATAAATATACACAAACGTGCGACTTTTTATCCACGGCGTTGACCAAAATGCTAAACCCGTGATGAGCGAGCCCATATTAACGTCATTACTTACCATCAAGGTCTTATCTGCGTATGATGCTCGGATGGTGAGGGGGTTGATTGCGTTGCGAGCATACACCCGACACTTGCCAATCACTGCATCTCCACCGTCGTTGTTGTGGTTGAACGCTGTGTTCCCATCCCCGATGACCGCGTACAAAGAGGGATTGTCTCTCTATGAGACCAAGGATAAGAAGTTGGTGAGGGATGGACGATAGGTATAAACAAATGAAGCACAGACTGTTTGTTAGAAGGCCATATATATAGGTATCTTACCAAATTGTATGCTAATTACATACTTCTTTGGAACTGTAATGTTCGCACGGAGCTACGCAAGCACTTAGACAAGCGTCACCTGGCGAGTACACGTTCACTGTGGATCTTTGCCATACATGTTATTTGGCTATGCGGTGTAACATGAGTTGTTATAAGTCATGTATATTTCGTCGATATAGTACGGGACTCGGGTGTGCGAAGTACACCATTCTCCATCTTGAGATTGACAGTTCCACCTCCACTTAATACGAAACGTACGATACTACCAAATGATAATAATAGTATGTTGGTGCGAGAAAATCATTTAACGCAAATGTGGATGCGCAGAGCATATCACTTTTGATTTTATGATTAATAAATGCCTCATCGCATGAGAGGATGGTGAGAGAATGGTCACTCACCTTTTCCTACCTATAATACAGAGAGCACACTCAATGAATGTGTAGGATCAAAATCCTAAGTGCGAATGGACGTACCTTTCCATCGTTATCGTACGTGTCAATCATCAGACCAAGACCCTTAAAGAAGTCTTTAGATCCAAATATATTCCCCGTTTCCGCCCTGTCCTCAGTCAACCATATCGTCATACCATCCGCTCCGGACTGAGATCGGCCATAGATTGAGAATTTGACCAAAATCTCCCACTCATTGAATGGCACAGGATACTGGTTCCACACCTATGCGATTGTGAAAAAAGGTTGCAAAAGTAAATGTCTGTATCGTGTGTTGATTCACACATGGGCGACTGAATATAGCTTACTAACAAACGATGAGCTGCAAAATGAAACCAACGCAACGATCGTTTCATGAGTATTCCTATATCAGATCGAAGTGTAGTATGTATTCGTATTTGTATCTC